AGAATGGTCAATCTTGAAAACTGTTACTTCGACCTGAAATGCGGCTGGTGACATACTGAGGCTTTGCAGAAATTCAGAAGATTCGAAAGGCCTAAAGAGTTAAAGTAAAGTTTGCCTTCAGTTACAAAAAAAATTTCTGCACAGAGGTCTTTGTCATCCTGTCACATGTCCTCAGTGCTCCATTCAAAGTCCATTTCCTTGATAGTTCAGTGCTTAGCAATCATGCTACAAGTCCTGAGAGCTTCATCTCTAGGCCATGTCCTTGGTGGTGTAGTCCTATGCCATCATGCTACATGTCCTCAGTGCTCAATTCATGGGCCGTGCCCTTGGTAGTTCAGCGCTGTGCCATTAAGCTACATGTCCTCAGTGCTCCACTTGTAGGCCATCTCCTTCGAGGCCCTCTTTTCAGCTTGACGCAGAAAGAATTTCTTCTCAAAGCCATTGGAACGGTCCACTCCGTCCCAGCGGTAGCCAGGTGCGATGTTGAAGCGGTTGGGCGGAGGTGGGGGTCCTTGGTATTTAGGCTTGGCTACCAAAAATAAAGGGAAACATACAGAGCATTCCAGGCAAGTAAAGGATTTTCATTCACTTGTTTGTGGAGTTAGCTCAGTTAAAGGCTGCATGATGATCTGTGAGATCTGGCCCGGGACAGGGTTGTATTCGAGTCCATCACAAGTCCATCACAAGTTGGTCTTAACCACTTGCTGCCGGGGAGCCCGGTTTCGGGCACGTATTCTTTATATGCACAGCCAGGGTGTCTGAAATCAGACAAAGGGAACTGGGCCCTGTAACAAAAGACCAGGCTGCTGAGGATTACCTACATTTTATCACGGTCAATAGTGGAGATAATCTAGCATTTATTTAAAAACAGTATACCACTGTTTGGGGCATTCAGGGCAAGCAGATTACCACTGGGGAAGAAAAAAATGCTCCACCACTGCAGTGATGAGCCACACAGTACTGCTGCACGCTAATCTGGCCCCTATTGAAAAGAGGTCAGCAGCGCACCGTGCTACATGTAGTTTCAGGAACAAAAGAAAATTACGTAACACCGCACAATCCGGGTTCTTTTTACAAGGCAGCAGGCCTGGCTGAAATACTCCAGTGTCAATAGATGTTGCCTGTCAGATTAGAGTAGACCAGACAGTCCTTTGTGTGGGTGTAAGTCCAGTAAATGAGTATATGAATTTTTAAAGAATTTTGAAAACAGACAAAAAAAATACTCCGGCCCAGTAGAATCAACATTTATGAATGCCCCCGGCAGGATGTGGTTAAGCCAATTCACAAGCTATTGAAACGAGCTGGGACAGCTCATCCTGTTACTTACAGGTATGGCTGATCATGTGAAAGGACTTACCCGGGCGACAGTTAAAAATGCATGCGCAGTAGCAGAAAATCCGAGAACTGTTGCCCAGGTGTACTGTGCACTTGTGGCGGCACCAGCCTAGCAACGGTATGCAGCTCATATGAAAAGATGGCGGCACACGTGTTTGTTTTCAGAGGTTATAAAATAAAATATGTGTAAGCTATATTAAAAAAAATATAACATGATCTTTTTCAGTTTGTGAAGCGATGTTAGCTCCTCGAGGTACTGGGAGTTGACAAACTGGTTCCTGGGGCGAATTAATGCTGCAAACAAACAGTAATAGCCCACTGACCTTTGACCCCCATGGCCGCCTGCTTCTTGGTCTGTTTCTTCTTCAGGAATGCCATCATGGGGTCCCCCTCCCGTTCCACTCCCTTCAGCATGTCGTCTAGGTCCTGGTCGTCACGGTAACGGGCCAGCGGCTTGTCCATCTCGTGCAAGGCATCTTTGATAAACTCCCTCTGTCGCGCAGTTTGTGCCACCCTGGATACAAAGAGAGCCATGGTCGCTATGCTTCCAACATTCGTATTGCTGGTCAAACTAAGTAAGACTTTTAAAAATCTGTCTCAAGAAGGGTACAAAACTATTCAGTGGCAACTGTTGTAATTAAGTCCTTCTTTCCAAGAACTACCCTGGAACCTTTAAAAAATGCTCTTTTCCCATGTACAAGTAAATGCTACTACCCTTTTTCAGTTCACCTTTTTTGCATTTTACTAAGCCTTCCTCACACTTTCAATTTTACAGAGGTCGGGTCACCGCTGAGACATCCTGAGTACTTTTCAGCTTAAGGATGCCGAGACCCGTTTTTCAGGTTAACCCACTACAAATCAACTTGACCTTATTTTGGGATTTTTGCCCTGTCCGACGTATGTTATAACACTGTATACTCAGTGTTTGCCCCCGAAAGCTTTTGAAAAAACCATAAGCGTACTTGGGTGGGACTCGAACCCACAGCCTCCTGCTTACTAGTGCAGACGTCTTAACCACTCGACCACTGAGCTTGCCAGTGTCTGCTGGCTGGTTTGAGTCCGATGTAGTAGCAGGTACCGTGAACAAGATTTTTCGACACATGTTGGGCAATGCAAAAATCCATAATTAATAAACATCTTCCCGACGCAAATCAATCCTTGGAAACAACTTGGATTTGCTTCTCCGCTTCTGTACACATTTTGAGGGCTTATCGTCTCGTCCAAGATGACTGACGCATTCTTACCCTTTCCCCCATTCAACAAATTTCTGGTCTTCCTCTGCCTTCTTGGCATCCTCTTCGCGCTTCCGCCGCTTCTCTGTTTCCAGGTCTCTCACTCTCCCAGACTTGTCTCGAAAAACAGTTTCTACAAAAACCCAAGAGGCAAAGAGGGTGGATTTTTGCAGTGCCAGAAAAGTTGTGTGATATCCGAGGGTGCGGTTTCAATTGGTAACAGAAGGGAAATTCCTATGGCATCAGAAGTGAGATTCTCAAATATCTGTTGGGGGATTTTCACAGTGTCAGAAGTGAGATTTCCAGGTTTGGAAAAGATATTCCTGTGGTTTTGGAAGTGGGATTCCCATTGATTTAGGAGATTCCTGCTGAACAGTGTTTGAAGCAGGATACACATACATGTAGTGTTGAAAGTGGTAAATGTGCATGTGTATTCTTACAGTATGGTGATGG